CACGACACCGCAAAACAAGCAAGCAATCATCAGAAGAAGAGTTACAAGTTTTTACGACAAAGTGCAGTCAACTTCTTGTTCCAGTTGATGAAACGTGAAGAAAAAAATAATATACAAGAAAAGACTTAAGTTAAAAGCCACTCGAGTGGACGAGTCAAAGCATCTCAGATACAATTGCATTCAACCCCTTAAAGGGTTAACCTCTTAACGAGTTAAACCCTTAAAGGGGTAACCTCATAACCCTTTGAAGGGTTAAGATGACAAAGACGACAACGACTCTTGGTATTGCCGAGATAAGCAACACGCAAGAGGCAATGCGTGCTGATTTCACAGCACGCATTGCCTGTGAGCAAACTGATCCCAGCATACAGTGCTGCAGCACAGCATTACTGGCGCAACACAGCACATCACAGCACGCTGCTGACAGGTTGGTTACCGTGCGCGTGCTGTGCGTGGTACGCAAGTGTTGGGGGCGCTCGTGTGTTAGTTGATTTGTGGTTGAATTGCGACGAGCAAATCTCCCAGGAAATAAATGCGTTGTTGTAGAGGAGCGTGCAAATGTGGATATTATGTAGCCGTGGACCGGACCACACACAGTCCTCAGGGCCGGTCCACAGGACCACACACAGTCCTCAAGGCCTGTCTCTTATACACATCTAGATGTGTATAAGAGACAGGTACAACGCACGTTACGTACAATTAACGCACGTTACGTACAACGCACGTTACGAACAACGCACGTTACGTACAACGCATGTTACGTACAAAGCACGTACACGCAACGCATGTTTCGTACACTACGTAAAAACAAGCTCCCAACTTGTGTACGTGCGTACTTAAAATGCAAGCTCTTAAATTCGCGAAACGTACTGTGTACGCACGTAAAATGTTCGTACGTCCACAGAAGAGCCACCGTAATAACCGAATCTTTAAACATTACCCTTCAAATTTCATATTTGGTACCTATCTTAGTCCACAGGAAAATCACTTTGCTAACAGATGACTAAAATACTTCGTTGGGAGCTTCTATTTCAATATTTATGCGATTCACAAAATTTTACAAACAATAAACACATTCACGAACATAATTGAAGCTGTGAATGATATAAGCAGATTCATTTNGCAATCGTTATTGAAATATCGGTTTTGCGAATTTGCTTGGCGTTTTCTTTGATTTTAAATTCCTCGAAACCAAAGTTCCAACGCTGGTGTACTAACAAGTAGCAATTATTTGTACCAAACAAGCAAATATAAGTTTCAATAGTGCCAAATGGACACATTCAACTTATTTATATATTTCATAAACGTTTAACAACAAACAGAAGAGCTCAACCACACAGAACAACAGCGCCATCGAACATTTATTAGACCTGCAGTCTCACCATCAGTGATATTTGGAGTGTGATGGTGCGTAGCATCACAATGATGACTCACAGCATCACAATGATGACTCACAGCATCACAATGATGACTCACAGCATCACAATGATGACTCACAGCATCACAATGATGACACATGACCTAGCAGCATGAACATAATCATGACATAGCAAAATAGACACGAGGTCTAGCAGCATGAACATGAGGTCTACACCAAGCAGCATGACACGAGGTCTAGCAGCACTCGTCAGATCTAGCAGCACGAGGTCTAGCAGCACTCATGTGGTCTAGCAGCACGGGCAGGTCTAGCAGGGTTCAGTGCTCGTACTGTGCGAGGCGGCGCTGGAGGCTCCTGATGGTGGCGTGCGCGGCATCCAGCTCCTGCTGCAGCTTCTGATGCTGCAAACAACGGACATGCTTAGTTACTTTATACTATTAATACTTAATGCTAAATAAAATAATGTACTTAATGTAAACCATGCAACACTAGAATAAATAACACGCGCTTGGTTACTCTATACTATTGATATTACTTAATGATAAATAAAATAATGTACTTACTGTAAACTATGCAACACTACCCACCTAGCCCCATGACCCACCTAGCCCCCATGACCCACCTAGCCCCATGAGCCACCTAGCCCCCATGACCCACCTAGCCCCATGAGCCACCTAGCCCCATGACCCACCTAGCCCCATGACCCACCTAGCCCCATGACCCACCTAGCCCCCTGACCCACCTAGCCCCCCATGACCCACCTAGCCCCTGTCTCTTATACACATCTAGATGTGTATAAGAGACAGGTACTGGACATGTCAGCTCCACACGACGTGACCACGTCGAATTATAAAGAACTTATAGAATTGAATAGAATTATTACTTAGAATTTGAATAGTTAAAGGCAAAATTAACTTCCATGCACATCTTCCAGTACAATAACTGTCTCTTATACACATCTAGATGTGTATAAGAGACAGGTTATATAGTTGTTAACACATATAAATTAGGATGACGACTTATATAGGTGCTGCCAGGATAGCCGTGACCTGAGGGCCGCTGTAGGAGTCACGTGTCCGTTGCTAGCAAGCAATACTACTAAAAACTCAAAGTTTTACTCTTTCGGTATATTTTTTATACAATTTATTTATATCACGCCGCTTTTATTTCTTTATTATTTATTATTTTGTTATATTATTTATTATAATAAAATATAAATTATTATAATATTAATATCAATTAATATAAATACTAACAAATTGATTAAGATACTGACATTGATGAAGATGCCGACATTGAACCTGATGATTGCCTCAGAAACCATTCATTTAGTGGATAGATGAGATGTGCAAGCCGATTAACAAGCAATTATCATTGAATTATAATTTAGATGAACAAGCCAAGACTTTATCCACAGATGCAGCTTCCGAGTCTCCAGCGACAGGCGTACAACCAAGGAAATGGCGTAAAAAGACGAAATTTTCAAATCTTTTTGACGAGAATCTTCTCGAAATTATCCAAGTCTAGACTAATTTAAAAAGTGCCCAAAAGATAATTCTACGGGCATGCTAGATATCAAACGAAGAGGCGAGACTGCATGCAACCGGGCATGATGAGGCAGGCTGGAGCGCCAGAGTCTGTGTTCACTGCAGAGGAGACGGGCGAGGTCTGTCATTCTGTACACATATAAAGTAATAACGGGACTGGCCTCTAATTTCGAAAGCGAGACCTTCAGGATTGAGACATACAGAAATCAGAGAAGAGGGAGACTGCGCAAGATATTCCCAATGCAAAACAGAGCTGCGGTCTGATTTCAATCTCTGCAGGAGGGAACCCATAGCGTGGCGGGACCGAGGTTGTTAAACGTCTTGCCAAAGAATCTAAGATTCTAAGAGGAATGAAATTCACCCATGAGACCTCCAAAAGACGACTAGACGTGTTTCTGGGCGCAATTCTTGACCGTTCGCCTCCCCACTACTACCAGCGGCCATAAGCAAGCAACAGCATCGTGCATGAGCTGACCCAACTGCGGGCAGCTGCGCGGTGATCATAAACTGGCCCCCGGCACCTCGGCGGCGGGGACAACTTGCCTGCTGGGGCTGAGGGCGGCGGAATACAGAGGCGGTGCTCCAACGTGGCCTGGGACTGCTACGTCCATAACGCATACTAAAGATACTCCGAACGCAGTGTGAGAGGCACGTACTTGGGGGAGGAGTAATCCAACGCTATTATTATGATCAGCACAACTCAAACATTGCTATCATTATGCATATTTTATTATGTACGTAGCATGCAAGTATCATGTACGTGTGAGGCTATATGCATCAGAGGTTCATAACTGCGAGCGCAGCGGAGATCCGCAGTGCAGCGGCCGCTGGTCTGGCGTTTGGCGACTTTCGTCACATCGTGCGAATTGTCTGCCTTTTAACCCACCTTTTAGCCGCGTTTTGACCCACATTTTAACCCACCTGCTTCCTGCTCTTCTTCACTATAGGCTGCGGTCGTAGCTCGTCCTCTGAGAACTTCCTGGTGCGCGGGTTGAACTTCTCGTCCCTCTGGCAGGTGTGGTCTGTTGGCGGGTGCACGACTTCAGTGTTAGAGGTGACAGAGGCAAATAC